CAAAACATACAGTCATTCATTCATATGGAAAACTGCTGCAAAGTGAAAAAATGTACAGTTAACTTAAATGTTTTCTGAAATATGTAGATAATGATGTTTGAGGCTGTGAAACCCTCCGTAAACCCCTAAAATACCATAAAGACCATTAAGTTGCACAACACGCGCATTTACTGTTCTGTTTCATCAAAATCTTGTAAAATGCAACAAGTGCCTGCTTTGGTTGCATCAGGTATGCACTTAAAAAACCCCTGCCATAGCAGTGAAACCGCGTTCTTGGGTAAGCGTACAACTGGGACTTGAAACAATGGATCGGTTTTCGTCCACGACTATCTGAACTGTACTTTGAAGTAGAACATAGGTGTTGTGTTCCAACAGTCATAGCTCATTGTAGCTCCATCTGAGCATCTGCAGAGTCGACAAATCGCCCAGTTTGCTGAATTTCTTTCCTAGTCACGGTACTAATCAGTCTGCCATATAAAACCGATTTCTTCTGCATGATGCCGGCTAATAGGCACGATCCCAGTTAAAAACATACCAGCCCGAGACCAAGAATGAGAACGGTCACGCCAGGATTACAGTCAACGGGCTTGTAAATGGGGTGAATTGGTTACTAACTCCCATGTTCAATGGTGGAAGAGACCGCCAAAGGAACTCAGCGGTAAACTGTGCTGTTCAGAGCAGTTATTATTCAACTCACAAAAGGAGGAACTGATTTTCTGTTACCGTTTTTAACCTCAACGAAATCCATTTAAAAGTTTTTCACTACATTTTCGTATCACAGAACTCTCCCGGTAGGTCGCAAGTACTTTGTTCAGACGTTGCAGTTTCTGGCGTAGCGATTAAGGGTATAATTAGGCACAGGTATTGATCGGATTTCGGATGTACGGTGTTATTAGAAAATTAATTAGTTCAACATACCCCGCCAAACAACCGGTGCTGACAGTTTCGAAAATGTAATTTTACTAAGTCTGATTTCTCATATCCAATATCCCAAGATGCGTCCAAATCGAATGTTCCTTGTCAAATTGTGCCGTGACGTAATAGTTCATTAATACACGGAAGTTTTACTGGTGAATCAAAAGGCGTTCTTGTGATAATAATTGTTAATCCGGCTTGCTTTCCTTGTTTTCATACTTTTTAGTATTCCACTCCTGATGAGGGTGACCAGCAGTGACCGAAACTTCAGACAACCCAACCTCGGTTTGTAAACGTCGTGTTGTTCTCTCACAACCCAACCAACTAAGATTTTCCCCGCAACGCTAAGTCTATTCGATTTCATCTGTGCCAAATTTGGTGCAGATATAGATCTTTATGTTTACAGTTATCAAGTTTAAACAATCTATACATCGAATTACGTCAGACGATTTAAAAAGTATCAGGCAGAATACGTGTCGAAATGCTCCTTAATTTTTTCGCCGACAAAAGTGCGATGTAGCAACTTCGCACATTCTTGGGCACGCAAGAGGATAGTTCGCGCACGCTTTCCGATGCACATCCACAACTGCTCCAGGATGACGCCGTGGAGAGCAGAAAGAATTTGGGTACAGAATACCTGGAGGAAACTTGTCCATGGTTAGGGATGAAACACTAATTAAATGTTACCTGGAGTTGAAACTCAAATTGCAGCTTAGTTCATCCGCAGCCTTTGGATTTATTTAACCATATTAACCCAAAATCAGCATGGTAGGTATGTATTCATCGCATACATTAAACTATCCAAACGCACCTGTCGGAGCACCATGGTTTGGTTCATTTCATTTTGGTACCTCCTTGCAACAACGTTCGTAATCCTCACGTATAAATAACTACATATGACAAATAGTTCCCTTTTTTACTGGTCATCATAACCTCAGGGTAATTTTTACAATTTTGCATGAAAACCAGGATTAGAAAGCTTACCACTAAAATCGTTTCGAAACAAAGTTAAGCATATTTCCTTAACAAAGCATTCTACTCATAGGGTTGCCTGGAAATCTTCGATAGCCCGCTGTCAGTATTATCTTCTCATCATTCTCATCTCTCATTATCTTATCATATAGGCCTAGTCTCCTCGTTTCCATTATCATTGTTTTATAATTCAGCCCCAGGTTGTACACAACTGGCCCAATTCACTTGTTTTCAGATTACATTAAGATTAGCGCTAAAGCAAACTGATGCTCCCTTTTTCCCCAAATGAATGGGTTGTAGTACGTTTCAGTTGGGACGATATTCAAGATATCGTAGTAACTTGTCCAGATGGAAAATAGTTTCCACGAGACTCTGTCAAAACTCCGCAACTACACACGACCACACCTTCATTAAACTTATGAAGTGCGGATAGTCCCCGATTTTCCGTCAATTTACGTTCCACGTAAACATCCTAAAAGAGAGATTTAGCCTGGTATCTTGAGAACACCAGTGTAATTTGCACTTGGCTGAATTCTGGACTTAAATCTAGTTTTAAAAATACTGAAGAGAGGCCACTTGTTTGAGGAGGTTACGATAAGCCTTTCTCAGCACTACAGTTGCTCCTTGTCAATGCTCTAGTTGGTTTACCCAGCTGAGGGATGTGACGTCAAGAGAAGCAAGAAGTGTACTATTTATCCCTTTAGTTTCAATGAGTAAGCCCTGTGCTTGACACAGTCAGTGTCAAAGTAGTATAAACACATGCATTCATTGTGGCACTGGAGCTGGGCCACTCTTATGCTAGAGGTTCCTAATATTCTCGATGAAATTTGGCGGATAACCAAACGAATTTCATTATCTTTTGTTTTCACCTGGAAGTCCTTTGGCCCACCTTGAGGATTTTTTTTATTATTTCAGGCTCCATGCGAAGAACCTTCTAGGCCTTTGAAGTGAAACTAAGATTCATAGCTTGTCGCTAGGTTTCCAACATGTCGACTTGTAAGTTTCATTACTGCCTCAGATAACATTTGATGGTCGCAGTGTAAAATGAAATCAAACAAAATTAGTGTGTGATTCCAGGGTAAAAGTAACCTTACTCTTGTTTAACGAATTGCAACTTTGTCAACGAAGATATTTACCTAAAATTTCTTTAGGCCTAACAACCTTCGACCTACATGTATTTTCATTAGAGGACGTCGAGGTAAACTGGCAAGTAGTAGATGCCTGGTAATCTATGCTTAGTAGTTGATTGATGTAGTAGCGCGAACTCTCACCCCAATTTTTTTTTCATTATTTGCGTCAACCGAGACTTGAAACAAAACTGCTGACCAAATCTTAAAATAGTCGTTGCGTTGGATTCTGGTAGCACCGCGTAAGATAAAAACAAGATTCAACTGAGTAGAAACTCAATTCGAATTAGGCAATTGTAGTTATACTCTGTAAATAAACCATTATAGCATTGAAGCACTCATTAAAATGAAAAAATGCTCGATAGTTTAGAACTATTTCACTTAATAGGTGCCCACTTGAAACAAAAAACTTTTGATCAGCCACCTGAAAGGTTTGGGTTAAGCTAATGGATCCCTTCTGGAAGTTGAGGTTAGCTGTGCTAACCATGTACAACTGATAAAACTAAGTACCAAGGGTATCTAACCTAGTTGAAAGGTAATCCTAAGTGCAAATTAAGAGGCAAAATATTACTCGTGGATCACTGTAGATATCATTCCACACCAAGTATCCCTATGTCCTACTAACTGGCTGGTCTTCATCAACCTACGTTGCTGCTTATGGGACCTTAGTGTAGTAGTGTCCAATGAGATTGCCAAACACGTAATCGGCATGGAAGTCAAGCATCTCCAAGACGCTACTGTATAGCGAACGGTCCTTTGAACTGCTAATCACAAACGTTAGAACTACAACGATTCAAAGCAATCAAGTTTGGATGGTGAAGTCTGTAGCTTGGGGAGATTGTTTCCAAAAACACTCGGGTCAATAAAATGTGGACACGGAAAAAAGCCATAATTGGACTACAAGTACCGGTAAACGCCAGTATTAGCTAAAAGTGACCAAGAATAGCCTGAGTAAAGCAACCAGTTTCATGAACCTTCGACTTGAGGTGTTGCACGAGGAAACAGTCTATACTGGATCGCGTGAAATGAACTCTTTGCCTGTGCAAATGCCCGTCACTTGACCTTGTGACCAATCACTCGTTGCTGAGTGGCATAGGGTTCAAAAACTGTCGAAAGGTCGAAAAATGTCGGAAGGTTACAGGCCAGCACAACCTACGAGATTCTCAATTTCCACGCTGCTAATTGCCTGCAACATAGATGAAACATCTGTACAGTGCTTCTTTACATTTCAGCATCGACTGACTGCTTGCAGAAGGAAATCTCGATTGGATTTGATTAAGATGGTGACGTATTGTCACCACTTCACCACTTACAAAGTGATCTACCAAAAATGGAAATATAGCTCGAAAGGATTGTCAAAATATATGTATTTATGTGAGTTGAGTCCTTTCGGTTGTGCATGTTTGTCTAAAATTACTAACTAATTCATCAATGGCACATTTACGCTGGAGTGATCAACGAGCCAACCTTCATCATCACATTTCCTATCATTTACTGCCAAATATGATGTCCGTATACCGTGGGGCTGGCCATTTTTTCTTTGAAAAGAGTCCTCTTGATGTCGATCCCTAGATTAGTTTGGAGTGAATGGTTCGGAAAAACCACACGTTCACTCCGCGTACCCATAAAAACAGTCATGTGGTGCGACAGTTTACAAGTAATAGCGTGTGAAGTCTGAACCCTTAAGGCAACCTCAGGTTGGCCAATCGTTGATCGATCTCTAGCTGCACACAGGCACACACGCGCGAGCGTGCACACATTAGTTTTTTGGCTGTCCGCCGCTGCAGGGCAAACTGTCTTTGCCCGTTTTCAGTTGAATTCACCATTCCAGTCCAATATTGTTCTCTGCTGCCTCGATTTACGGACTAGCTAGGACGAAGCCGATCATTGAATGAAACTGTCTTACGATCACCAGTGAAGTTTCGTTGAAATCGACGTTAAGTTCCCACTTGTGGTGTGCCTGATCGAGGAAGATTAAACAAAGAAATGAGTGAGGAAGAAGGAGTGAGTGAAACGAATTCTGGTGAAAAAGAATCCCAATCGGAATCAGGAGCCAATGGAGTAGAACATACTGAAAACTCTTTGATTAAAGAGGATGCTGTTCATTTTCAGGATTCTGAAGATGAACATTTCGAAGAAGCCCAGTCAGAAAGACCTGGAGAGGAACCAGAGACCAAAGAGGAGCCAAAAAAGACTCAAGAAGAAGGTGAGGAGTACGTGGTTATATTAGAAGAGGAAGAAAACAAAGTGGTGGATGAACCAGAAGTGGTTCAAGAAAGGGTTTCACGAAAGCAGCAGCAGGATGATCAAATATCCGGACTGGCCGAAATGAAGACTCCTGCTAAAGAGAACGACGGCTTCTTCTGTAACATGAACGGAACCTCCTCTGTTTCGCCAAATGAATTCAGTCAAGGAACGGAGCCTAGCAGTCGCGTGGTTTCCAATGCTATTCCCTCGATGAACTCACATGCAAACGATCGACTTGGTGCAGCAATTAACGAATTCGCTGCACTGACTACACAAGACGACGACAAACATACTCCACAGCCTACAATATATCAGCGTCGTACAAACCCACCACAACGTTCCATTTACCATCGAAGCCCATCCGACAGAAAAGTTGCCGTGCCCAGTTGGTACACGCCCCCGAGCAAACCAATCACTAATATTGTTCCAGCTCCACCACCATACGAACAGCCCATGCAACATGGATACCAGACGATTGATGCAGCGCAGAGCCACTCTGTCACTAGCCCGACTCGAAAAATATCCAACAACACACCGTACGTTGGGTCACACGTTATCGCTTCAGAGACGGGACCATCACTAACAGTGCTTCTGCGTCGACCCACTTCTGAACGCCAGTGGGGTTTTAGTTTCTACGGTGGAGCAGAATTTGGCTGTCCGCCATTCGTCAATAAAGTGAGTTCTTTGTTTATGACATACGATGCCTATAATCTATTAGTTGACTAATGTTTAAAAAAAGTCACTAGAGCACACGAGTAAAAGATTTGAAGCTGCCTTAAGTAGCTATGTCAAGTCTGTGGATAATCGGAGTTTCGGAGAAACAGTGGTAAACAGCTCTCGAACGAAACACACCATTCTCCTCCAGAACAAGCATATTGTGCCTCTAGGTTTGCATGTTTTCCTTGTGTTTCAGTTTTAAGGAATTAAATAAATAAAGCGTTAGGAATTGTCCGTCTGATCCAGTTAAATAATAACACAAATAAGAACAACATATGACTGGTAAACGCACATTCTGGTTTCGGCCTCGTTTCTTAACCAAACAGAGTGATGAGCAGGAGCTGACCCCGGATAATTTAGCGTATCATTTCAAGTCGCCCCTGTAATACGAAAAGGTATATCATCAAAGAAACTAACCTCATTCACACAACGCATCAAATCGTTACCCCAAAGCGCTTTGAAGTTTGGCAGCAATAATTTCGAATTTGTCAGTCCAAGAAACATGAAATGCGTCTTAATTGAAAGTAAAGTTATCTCATTTCTGACCTGTTGATACCTGTCTCATTTGGCTTGACCTTTACGCGGCATTAGTGTGAAGTGCCTAGCACGTGTTCAGCGAGGGTACAAATTCCTACGCAAGATGTTATGTTATGGATATTTTTGGAACTGTACGGCTCATCGACGTCATTTAAGAGTTCTTCAATATTTTAAGCACCTCGATTACCACAACGAACGTGACCTATGACAATGGACGCATATAACATTTTAGTCTACCAGAGGTTGGTGGGGTAAGTGAACTTAGTCGAGTTGGAAGAAACGTTTGACATTTTGTGGTAGTGAGTCACTTTGGATCAGTTACTGGTGCTAGCGATCCCTGTATTGCAGTAATGTTGGGCAAATAACTGAGACATGGTTGTTTACACGTTCAAGGGGAACAATTTTGAGGAAACGACTTTTTCGAATCGTTCGAATAGTATCATGTTTAGAGCTCCAAGTCTATGGCGTAAATTTTCTTCATTTATTCCTTCGCTTCTCAGTGCAACTTTGTTAGCATTCGGACCCCGCAACAAATAAAACTGTTCAGTAAAGATGACTCATATTCAGGAGACCTAGGGTAATGTGATAGAGAATTAGGGACTTTTAGATTGAAAGAATATAGTAGTTAGTTGGTCTACACGTCTGAGGCTTTAGAATCTTCTCAGATTTGATATTCGGAAGCAAGGCTTCAATATATTCGGAAAATAACCACTGTATATGATGTGGTAATCTTGTTATACAACAGTCGTTCAAAGCTCACAAAGTAAGCAAACTCCTGAAGGATCCGACATTTTCATTTTCAAAAATGTATCCACTGAGGGGGATTAGAACCTCTTTTCGTTACATTACATCCAGCTTACGGACGCTTGAGCATGTAGCACGGTTTTTTTTGTTTCCAAAAATCAGGATAAGAACGAAATTGTCAACAAATGAAGCTCTCGTCATACCCTGGTCTACGCGAAAATGATCTTATGCCCGATGTTGCTTCCTGAATTGTTTTAAGCAGCAACCCAAATAAAATAAACATACTGTTATTGCTCCGTAATGTTATGCAAATCAGAACTTGCCATGTGTTTCGTTGTTAAGTGTGAACTTCCCCTTCGAAGCTCATTCACTTACAAATGCACCTAACGCCCCTTATCAGATCCGCCTTAATTACTTCGTTCTCAGTCTATCAGCTTTACATTGAGTTCGCAATTTTCTTTGCCTTTATTAAAAACTCTGATCACCAAGTACCGTGTACCGAGAAATATGACGTCCAAAATAACTGGAACATATTGGTAATGTGCCGAAATATTGGTAGATCGGGTTAATTTATTGGTTGTTGAAGAGATGGCTGTCGATCTGTTCGCCGGGTTGGCAACTGGACTTGCAAAGTTTCGTCACCATACAAGGAGACATCACTGCGCACTGATGATGTCTCCTCTTATGGTGACGAAACGTTTGCAAGTCAATTTCCAGCTCGGCTAGCAGATCAACAGCCACCTGATCAACAACCAATAACTGGAGCATATTTGCCGATAGAATATAGGGCAATATTTCTGGTCACAGATTATTTAGTTTAGCAAAATAATGGATGAATCTAACAATCGCTTAAACATCTTCCTCCAGGAAAGCACATTTTTGTCGAAGTAAAACGAAATTTCTCCACAACTTGATCAGAAGTGTTTGTAGTTGCTTACTAAACGCCTTGGCAAAGGTGAGAACAGTTGAGATCTCTGCCCTTACGAGAAACTCAACAGAAAACTACATAACCTCCGGAAACTACAATAACCACAGAGGAAACCGCCTTGAGATTTAACACGTCAATGCACTGATTTTTCTCACAGCTAATCAAATAGATCCCTATATTTCTGGTTATGGATCAGTCCTTCAGTCAAATTGTAATTAGAAAACGACCGATTCTTCCCTTCACCCTGGGAAAATTATACATTTGTTCAAAGACATTAGAACATATATGCCTATTGTGGACCCAGAGAGAAACTTGACAAAACTGGTTCACGGGTACCTCACAATATAACATGACAACCTAAATGTAATGTTACACCTGATGGACCACTGGTGACTGACTATGATGCGATCTTCATTTTCCGATGTATGGTTAACCCTAAGTTCGTTTGGCTAGGAGCCACCGGACGGACCGTGTTAAGCTAGTCAAAGGATCCTGACTCCAAAAGAGTGAAGAAAAGAACTGTCATTTAGTATGAAAACAAACTTGTACCTTTGTATAGACGCAGTACACTACTCCTAAGGTTCCTGCAACCCATTCGGCAGTCTACGACAGGTTTTACTCTTCCTTGAGCCCGACAGGTAGGCGCAGTCCACAGGTTTCCTTGGATTCAAACAGTACACTCATCTGCATAACAATTTGGTTTTGGCGGGAGACGCCCAAACCAAACGGTGTTTCCTAACAGATCGTTTTTGGCTGTCGTATATCTCTTAATGAGTGATTCAAAGTTGCTGCCGGGGATGCATTCCCTATTCCAGAAAAGCTTGAAGTGATCCTCCGGTTGTTTTTTGGTCTTTCAATTTTGGACCATTTATTCCAAGATTTTAGAATAAATCGTAATATTTCATCTAATTATTTCGAGCTTTAATCATCATATGTTGGAATCCCATTATATGAAACGGAATAATTTCGAATTAAATTCTGTTTCGAAGTAGGCAGTAGGCCAGGTATCTGAGCTCTTGATATAATACACCTATTTATAAACTAATTTGATACGAAAGGGATATTCATAAATGATACATTCAGTATCGTCTCTCAGTGTAATTTGTCTCCAGTGTAATTTGCAAGTGAACGTTTTTCGATAAATACACGCCATGTGTTATTCATATAGAACATAAAATCGACAGCAATTCAGGGACTAACACTATTTAAGGATGAACCGGTGGTGGGTTGTCGAAGACTTTATGTGACCCGGTGAGTATTATGTTATGCGAATGGTTTTTTACCTAATGGTGGACCAAACAAAATAATATTTATGGTATGTGGACTCCCAGAGAAGTGTGGAAGTGTGAAAAATGTAAGCAAAAGTGACAGAATAGGAAGTGAAAAAAGGCAGCTGTTATTAGGTCACTTGGAAGCCTGGTTATTTAAGGACATCGACGAAGCGGGAAGACGCAAAGCACGTTGCAGGTGCGCCAAAATATTCCCCACAGATAATAACAGTTTTCTTCGCCAGTTTTGGGGTGAGTTTGGAGAGTCATCTAACAGACTAGAAAGTACGTGTACGAAACAGTCACTTCTTACGAAAGTGAAGAAAATTTCAGTAGTATGCGAGAAACGTTCAGTCAATATGCAGCACAGGCACACGGCCCTGGACTTCAAAAAAAAGCCTCTTTATCAGTTTCATACCAACTAACGGAAGATTCGAAATTTGAAACTCGGTTCTCTGTAAGGTTTTAAAGCTGAATAAGAAGAAGAACACTCGAATTCGCAAACCCATTCTGTTGACCACTGAAATGATTCACTCCCTTATCGAATTATTTGTTCCTTCGTGCAATTGACAAAGACATGATTTTATACAAGAAACTGGTTAGGTCAGGGTGATTTAAATGATTAGCATGGGTAAGCATCAATAAAGTTAGGGCAGCGCATTTCCCCCAAATAGACGCCTGTGTGGTAAAAATATACGTATTTTGGTAAATTCAGTAAACGAACCTGCGTTGTGCTTTCTTTCCTCCTAGAATTTGTGCGTATTTTTAAAGCCTAATCGGGCATCTTCCGTGAGTGATTTCTCTTCACGTCAAACAGTTTATTCATAATTGTGCAAGATACCTTATACTACATCTGATGCACACAAATGTGTACTACAGGAAGGATACATGGAAGCCGCAAATACTTGCTACCCGTTTTTCAATGTCTGCGTAACGCCCGGAATCTGAGATAACCACTTCGTGACTTTTGCTAAGACACGCTCATTTGCAAACCAATTTGGTTCTTTCGAGAGACTCAACTGAAACCCATCTGAATCTCTCGTTTATGATGTTCTCGCTTATTTCGCTTATTATCGCGATATTTCAAATATCGTAGCGTTTTAAACATGAGGCGGCCTGGTGCAGCACATTCAGTTGCCTGAGAACATCATAAACGAGAGATTCAGCTGGGTTCCAGGTGAGTCTCTCGAAAGAACCAAATTGGTTTGCAAATGAGCGTGTATTAGCAAAAGTCACGAAGTGGTTATCTCAGATTCCGGGCGTTACGCAGACATTGAAAAACGGGTAGCAAGTATTTGCGGCTTCCATGTATCCTTCCTGTAGTACACATTTGTGTGCATCAGATGTAGTATAAGGTATCTTGCACAATTATGAATAAACTGTTTGACGTGAAGAGAAATCACTCACGGAAGATGCCCGATTAGGCTTTAAAAATACGCACAAATTCTAGGAGGAAAGAAAGCACAACGCAGGTTCGTTTA